CTCTGAATTTGCTATTAAAATATCTATCTAGCTGCATTATTGGTTTATTTTCGAATTTTTGGTCAATATTTTTTAATTTTTTATGACCCCCGACCTGTCAAAATTTGCAAAAAATGGGTTTGCAGAAAAGTGACCAGATCCCAGCACTGCTTAGCCCATAACTTTTGAAATTTTTACCCGATTTAAAAGTGGAATACCTCTCTGAATTTGTTGTTAAAATATCTATCTAGCTGCATTATTGGTTTATTTTCGAATTTTGGTCAATATTTTTTAATTTTTTATGACCCCCCGACCTGTCAAAATTTGCAAAAAATGGGTTTCCAGAAAAGTGATAAGATCCCAGCACTGCTTAGCCCAAACTTTTGAAATTTTTACCCGATTTAAAAGTGGAATACCTCTCTGAATTTGTTGTTAAAATATCTATCTAGCTGCATTATTGGTTTATTTTCGAATTTTTGGTCAATATTTTGTAGTTTTTTATGACCCCCGACCTGTCAAAATTTGCAAAAAATGGGTTTGCAGAAAAGTGACCAGATCCCAGCACTGCTTAGCCCAAACTTTTGAAATTTTTACCCGATTTAAAAAGTGGAATACCTCTCTGAATTTGTTATTAGAATATCTATCTAGCTGCATTATTGGTTTATTTTCGAATTTTTGGTCAATATTTTTAATTTCTTATGACCCCCGACCTGTCAAAATTTGCAAAAAATGGGTTTGCAGAAAAGTGACCAGATCCCAGCACTGCTTAGCCCATAACTTTTGACATTTTTACCCGATTTAAAAGTGGAATACCTCTCTGAATTTGTTATTCGAATATCCTAGCTGCATTATTGGTTTATTTTCGAATTTTTGGTCAATATTTTGTAATTTTTTATGACCCCCGACCTGTCAAAATTTGCAAAAAATGGGTTTGCAGAAAAGTGACCAGAACCCAGCACTGCTTAGCCCATAACTTTTGAAATTTTTACCCGATTTAAAAGTGGAATACCTCTCTGAATTTGTTATTAAAATATCTATCTAGCTGCATTATTGGTTTATTTTCGAATTTTTGGTCAATATTTTGTAGTTTTTTATGACCCCCGACTTGTTAAAATTTGCAAAAAATGGGTTTGCAGAAAAGTGACCAGATCCCAGCACTGCTTATCCCAAACCTTTTGAAATTTTTACCCGATTTAAAAGTGGAATACCTCTCTGAATTTGCTATTAAAATATCTATCTAGCTGCATTATTGGTTTATTTTCGAATTTTTGGTCAATATTTTTTAATTTTTTATGACCCCCGACCTGTCAAAATTTGCAAAAAATGGGTTTGCAGAAAAGTGACCAGATCCCAGCACTGCTTAGCCCATAACTTTTGAAATTTTTACCCGATTTAAAAGTGGAATACCTCTCTGAATTTGTTGTTAAAATATCTATCTAGCTGCATTATTGGTTTATTTTCGAATTTTTTGGTCAATATTTTTTAATTTTTTATGACCCCCGACCTGTCAAAATTTGCAAAAAATGGGTTTCCAGAAAAGTGACAAGATCCCAGCACTGCTTAGCCCAAACTTTTGAAATTTTTACCCGATTTAAAAGTGGAATACCTCTCTGAATTTGTTGTTAAAATATCTATCTAGCTGCATTATTGGTTTATTTTCGAATTTTTGGTCAATATTTTGTAATTTTTTATGACCCCCGACCTGTCAAAATTTGCAAAAAATGGGTTTGCAGAAAAGTGACCAGATCCCAGCACTGCTTAGCCCAAACTTTTGAAATTTTTACCCGATTTAAAAGTGGAATACCTCTCTGAATTTGTTATTAAAATATCTATCTAGCTGCATTATTGGTTTATTTTCGAATTTTTGGTCAATATTTTGTAGTTTTTTATGACCCCCGACTTGTTAAAATTTGCAAAAAATGGGTTTGCAGAAAAGTGACCAGATCCCAGCACTGCTTATCCCAAACCTTTTGAAATTTTTACCCGATTTAAAAGTGGAATAATAATACTTGGTCCTCGAGAACTAGTGGGATGTTCAAGAGGGGGCTTAGCTGGGGCCGCCAGGCGGGTCGCAGGTTGCGGATAGCGAACGGCCTTCTATAAGGTTAGTTGCGAATAGGCGAAAGCTAATAAGCAACCCCGGACAAACAGCGGGTACACCGGAGTCGGTGTACTGATGAGACGTTTGTTTGGCCGTCTTCGAAAGTATAGCCTCACACACTCCTCTTCCCTCACGACTACCTATCAACTCCCCTCCCCACACAATCTCACTCCGGGCCGGACTAAGGTGTCATCCGACCCGTGCCGATAGTCAGCCTGGCTGGGGGCCCGGATTAACAAATAGCCCAGTCTCTCACGGAGGGTTCAGGCAAGTGGCGACCGCCTGTCCTAACTGCGCCTTACCCGGGTATGGCGGATCTTTGCCCGGGCGGACCATACATTCTCCGCAACTCGTGGGATTTGATCATGAAGAAGATTAATACCAATAAACTACCGCAGGATATCCCTGCCTCAAGTGCCGCAAGGCTCCTTGAAGAAAGACTCCTTGACGGAGTGCGACCCCAGGTGGGACCAGCCCCACCCAGGAGCGCAGCTTCCATCAGGAGTGCGTCGCGGACGCAGAATGTGGGACGACCCCCACAAAGATCGACGGTTCCAGTTCGGGAACGTGGGCTACCGGCAGGACCATCCCGGCCGGCTTGCCCACCCCCGCGGCTGTACCGAAGATCAAGCCCGCCAATAAGGCAGATGTCCTTCCAGCCAGAGGGCAACCAGGAGGCCTTGGCGACCCCTACAGGAAAGGCCTGTCGGGGTCCAAGGTCAAATGGTACCTCAGGTACCTTCAACAGGGCATGACACCTGTTGAAGCTCTGAAGAAGGCGAAGGAGCCACGACCAGTGGCACAAAATGTTGCCCCTGCCAGCAAGCGGGCAAATAGCACCCTCACCCCTCCGATGGACACCCCGAAGAGGGCCAAGTCCGAGGGCATCAAAGAGGCAGCGGCACCCCACCCCCGTCCACCAAGGCCTGATGAGCCAACCACATCGAAGGCGGCGGCGACGAGGAGACCCCCCTAAGGCATCTGCTGGCGCACCCAGCGTGTCGAAGGCGGGTGACAAGGGTGAGAAGCAGCCACCCTCCACTTCCACGGCTCCTCTCACGGGCACCTCCTACGCGGAGGCCGCCAAGAGAGTAAGAGTTGCGGTACTACCTGAGGACTACCCGCAGGTATACCTGAGCAACGAAGAGCTTGCCGAGCTGGAGGAGGCCATAATGGACGATGTAGTCACGTCTGAATGGGACTCAGCAGTCGCCTTCAGAGGTATCCACTTTAGGGTCGGATATCTCCTGATAGACTGCTTAGACCAGGATTCAGCGGACTGGCTGAGGACTGTGACGCCTCAGCTGAGGACTTGGAAGGGCGTGCCCCTTGACACTAGGGTAGGGGAAGACATTCCTGCGGCATACAATGTCACAGTCTTCTGCCCTAGAAGCGCAGAAAGAAGCGATGAGGAGCTTCTGATGATGCTGGGACGCCAGAATAGAATGGAGGTCGATTCCTGGAAGGTGATCTCCCGAAGGAACGACGGAGGCGGAGCACTCCTCGTTATTGGGATAGACCAACTCACCCGAGATGAGATCGTCTCTAAAGGGCACCAGCTGAACTTTAGATTCGGGACCGTCTCGGTGAGTGGTCTCAGGAAGGCGGCGAAGACGGCGGCAACAGAAGCAGCGCCCCCCGGCCCCAAAGACGGCAAAGTGGAGGCCGAGGAATCCCTCGGAAAGCCACAAGAGCCATTGGGTGCAAAGGAGGAAGCTATCGCCGATATGGACGTGGAGAGTGAGGACGAACTTCTCTCACACTCCCAGGAGGTGGCACAAGAGCCCCTCCGAGAAGATATCGACGAGAAGGAGGCCGACGTCACCCTGACCGAAGGCAGTGAAGGGGAATGCCCGCCCCCTTCACAAAACATGGAGCACCCGCTCCAGTAATGGCTGCACATCGCAGCACGCAGCTAGCCCAGGTGAACTTGCACCGGGCCAAGGCGGCATCCGCCGTCCTGGCCAGGTTGTTCACCTCCCAACATCTCGGGCTAGCTCTCATTCAGGAGCCTTGGTGCAATCAGGGCATTAAAGGCCTGTACACCAAGGAATCAAAGGTAATATGCGACCAACGGGGTGCACACCCAAGAGCATGCATATTAATAAGGAAAGATATCAACTATAATATCTTTTCAGAGTTCCTAACCAGTGACTGTGTCGCAGTAACGCTGAGCGGCACAGGAAAGTTACCAGCGATCGCCATAGCATCGGCTTATTTCGCTGGGGATGCAGCATGCCCACCACCGGAAATCATCGGACTCGTGGAATGCTGCAGAAGGAAGAAGTTACCCCTAATCATAGGATGTGACGCCAATGCACATCACGTGATATGGGGAAGCACCGACGTCAACAACAGAGGTGAGCAGCTAATAGAGTTTATTGTAAATAGTAACCTAGAAATCGCTAATGTCGGGTCCACACCGACATTCATTACTAGAGTAAGAGAGGAGGTCCTAGACATAACTCTGATGAGCAGGTCTCTAGGACCACTTATCAAGAACTGGCATGTGTCGCCAGAGGAATCAATGTCGGATCACCGAATCATTAGATTTGAAGTAGACTTCAACACCGCTAGGGACGCCCCCAAAAGGAATCCCAAGAAAACAAACTGGGATTGGTTCAAGTCCTCTCTTGAGCTTAATCTCTCTAACGAACCGTCAGGTATACCCAGATACTCCTTAGAATTGGATCAGGCAGTGGATAACCTCTGCAAGAAGATAACCAATGCTTTTGAGGACAGTTGCCCTCTTGGCAGACGGAAAGCAGATAGAGACGCCCCATGGTGGAATGACAACCTGGAACGGCTCAGAATCTCCACCCGCCGGCTCTTCAACAGAGCAAAAACGAGCGAGGATAACTGGAGACATTATAAACAAAGCCTGACGCTCTACAACAAAGAGATCAGGAAGGCCAAACGGAAGAACTACAGAGACTTCTGTGAGGCAATCAGCACGGCCCATGAAGGGGCAAGATTGCACAAGGCCATGGCCAAAGTTGCACCAGAAAGTAACCTAGCCCTGAGGAAATGTGATAATTCTTACACTTCCGACGACAGGGATAAACTAGCTTTACTCTTTAAGACACACTTCCCCGGGAGCTCACCCCTGGCGGAAGATACGTCCAACCCAATGGAGGCACCGTCCACTCCAAGACACCTCAGACCAAGCTCAGAGGACTGGGCAATTGCCAAGTATCTGGTCTCTCCGGAGAGACTTAAATGGGCAATTGGGACCTTCCAACCATTCAAGTCACCTGGTCTGGATGGTATCTCTCCATCATTCCTGCAGCAGGGACTGGATTTACTCCTAACCCGCTTAAGGAGACTGATGCTAAGTAGCCTAGCAATTGGACACATCCCAAATGCGTGGCGTAGAGCTAGGGTGGTCTTCATCCCCAAAGCAGGGAAGAAAGACATCACCAACCCAAAGTCCTTCAGACCTATCAGCTTAACTTCGTTTTGCCTTAAAACGTTGGAAAAGCTGGTAGACTACCATATTAGGAGCACAGTTCTTAAGGACTGTCCGCTGCAACCCACGCAGCACGCATACAGGGCAGGTCGTTCAACAGACACTGCACTGTACCAACTTTGTCACACCCTTGAAGGGGTAGTGGACAACAAAGAAGTTGCAATCTGCGCCTTTCTGGATATAGAGGGAGCCTTTGACAATGCGTCGCATGATGCTGTCTTAGCGGCCCTCACCAGAAGGAATATAGATGCTACAACAAGAAGGTGGATTGGAGCCTTGTTAAGCTCCAGGCAGGCAATGGCGACCATTGGCAACAGCACAATGATCGTTGCCACAAGCAGAGGATGTCCGCAAGGTGGAGTCTTGTCTCCTCTATTGTGGAGCCTACTAGTAGATGAACTACTAAAGAAACTCGCCGACAGAGGAATACAATGTCAGGGCTATGCCGATGACATAGTAATAGTAGCCAAAGGGAAATTTGAAGAAACGCTTTGCGATATTGTCCAACTCGGACTCAAGATAACGCTCGACTGGTGCAGGGAAGTTGGGCTTAACCTCAACCCCGCAAAAACAGTCATTGTTCCTTTTACAAAGAAGTACAAGCTAAAGAAGATGAGACAAATCATACTACTAGGTACTCCCGTAGCAATAAGCCGGGAAGTCAAGTACCTCGGAGTTACCTTCGACAGAAGGCTAACGTTCGCAACCCATATGCAAAAGACAGTGGATAAGTGCCTCAGGGCTCTCTTCACCTGTCGGAAAATTGCAGGGAAATCTTGGGGGACCTCACCCCAAATTATCAGATGGTTATACCTCATAATTGTGAGGCCAATACTCACATATGGGGCAGTAGCCTGGGGTAAACGAGCTAGGCTCGTTACCGCACAGAAACAGCTCCAGAGGCTGCAAAGACTGGCATGTATATGTATGACAGGAGCAATGAGAACCTGCCCCACTGCGGCACTGGAAGTTCTCATGGAACTCACTCCGCTACACTGCGTAGTGGAGTTACAGCGGAAGGCCACCCTACTAAGAATCACTTCTTGTAGTAATGGCAGTGACCGCATCCTCAGTTCTAGGGATGCATCAAAACTACTAGTCGAACTTCCCCTGAGCTCACACCCCAGGGACGAAATGACAGTAGAATTCATCTTTGAAAAGAATTTCTCTGCTCATCTGAGCAACAAGAAAGAATGGACCACCATGAAGGAAGTACACTCCATGGCGAGTCACACTATAGCATGGTATACGGACGGGTCTTTAACACACCAAGGCACTGGCCTTGGAGTAGTAGGACCACGAATCAAATACCATGAATCGTTAGGCCAATACACCAGCATATTCCAAGCTGAAGTTTGCGCCATAGGACGGTGTGCAGAGCTCAATATGAAGCGTGGGTACACAAACAAGGACATTGCGATCCTCTCGGACAGTCGAGCGGCTATTACTGCACTATGCAGCAATAGAATCACCTCGAAGCTGGTACGAGAAGTAAGAACAAAGCTGAACCTCCTGGGCAGCAACAACAGGCTGTCATTAAGATGGATTCCAGGACACAAAGACATATCCGGGAATGAACTAGCCGACAGGCTAGCAAAACTAGGGGCGGAAAGACCCCTTATAGGACCCGAGCCTTACTGTGGCATAGGCAGACACACAGTCAAAGATTACCTAAGAACAGAAGAGGTACATATGAGGCAAGCCTGCTGGGCAGACACCACAGGCCAAAGACAAGCCAAAACCCTCATCGTCAATTATGACATGAAGAGGTTTAAGAAACTTATACTACTAGGGAAGAACTCACTTAGGATAGTGACCGGTTTACTAACCGGACACTGCAAACTAAGGAGACACCTATTTAATATAGGGATTACAAACAGGAAAACATGCAGATTCTGTGATAGCGAGGATGAAACCTCCCTACACATAATATCAGATTGCCCAGCACTAAGTAGCCTGAGGTACAGAAACCTCGGGTCCAGGTTCCTTACACTTGGGACCTCTGGAGGCATCGACCCGATAAAGCTCCTTAACCTTATCGAAGGAGCCGGGCTGATGGGTGAGCTCTAAGCTCAGATAGGGGGTACAATAGATCCAGTTGGGTCGAGGTAACCTTTTCCCCCCTAATAATAATAATAATAAAAGTGGAATACCTCTCTGAATTTGTTGTTAAAATATCTATCTAGCTGCATTATTGGTTTATTTTCGAATTTTTGGTCAATATTTTTTAATTTTTTATGACCCCCGACCTGTCAAAATTTGCAAAAAATGGGTTTGCAGAAAAGTGACCAGATCCCAGCACTGCTTAGCCCAAACTTTTGAAATTTTTACCCGATTTAAAAGTGGAATACCTCTCTGAATTTGTTATTAAAATATCTATCTAACTGCATTATTGGTTTATTTTCGAATTTTTGGTCAATATTTTGTAGTTTTTTATGACCGCCGACTTGTTAAAATTTGCAAAAAATGGGTTTGCCGAAAAGTGACCAGATCCCAGCACTGCTTATCCCAAACCTTTTGAAATTTTTACCCGATTTAAAAGTGGAATACCTCTCTGAATTTGCTATTAAAATATATATCTAGCTGCATTATTGGTTTATTTTCGAATTTTTGGTCAATATTTTTTAATTTTTTATGACCCCCGACCTGTCAAAATTTGCAAAAAATGGGTTTCCAGAAAAGTGACCAGATCCCAGCACTGCTTATCCCATAACTTTTGAAATTTTTACCCGATTTAAAAGTGGAATACCTCTCTGAATTTGTTGTTAAAATATCTATCTAGCTGCATTATTGGTTTATTTTCGAATTTTTGGTCAATATTTTGTAGTTTTTTATGACCCCCGACCTGTCAAAATTTGCAAAAAATGGGTTTGCAGAAAAGTGACCAGATCCCAGCACTGCTTAGCCCATAACTTTTGACATTTTTACCCGATTTAAAAGTGGAATACCTCTCTGAATTTGTTATTAAAATATCTATCTAGCTGCATTATTGGTTTATTTTCGAATTTTTGGTCAATATTTTTTAATTTTTTATGACCCCCGACCTGTCAAAATTTGCAAAAAATGGGTTTCCAGAAAAGTGACCAGATCCCAGCACTGCTTAGCCCACAACTTTTGAAATTTTTACCCGATTTAAAAGTGGAATACCTCTCTGAATTTGTTGTTAAAATATCTATCTAGCTGCATTATTGGTTTATTTTCGAATTTTTGGTCAATATTTTGTAATTTCTTATGACCCCCGACCTGTCAAAATTTGACATTTTTACCCGATTTAAAAGTGGAATACCTCTCTGAATTTGTTATTCGAATATCCTAGCTGCATTATTGGTTTATTTTCGAATTTTTGGTCAA